ACGTTTTCTTTAGCAGCCCTGGCCTTCCCCCCTGTCCCAGGTAGTGGGACAGAAGATCTAGCTAAAAATTGGTCCTTGGTTTTTGATACTTTTATTTTCTTTTTCCCTGTACAGGGAACAAACTGAAGCCACCTGCCACTGTGAGATTTTGTTTTGCTTTGTCATCCTCTAATGTAAACAGTAAATTAAGTTTGAATAAGGTTGCCATGCAATATAACTGCTGGAGTGCAGGATATTTGTTTTTAGATACTTCAGCTTGGTTTTAACTCGTGAGTTATCTGAGAACTGTTATGTGAGTGTCCTCAGTGAGATGTAACACCCAGTGTCCTAGTGCTGCTTTAAAACTGCAGTTTCAGGCACATACAGACCGTAATTGGTAATAAGGAGACAATTTAAGGTTTAATAATTCAAGTTGATTTCCAATATATGGAGTTGAACTGTTATCACCAGCTAGTTGCTATGCTGTTAATGTTTGGTCAAGGTGTAGATGAGTTTTTATACTGCATTCAAAATAGAACAGTCTGAAGGAATTATTCAGCACAGGCTTTTGTTTGTGTGCTGTGCAAGGTTTTAACTTTGAGGGAATACACCTTCAGATGTGAATTTGCTGTTTAATGTGGGTGTTCCTGTCAACTCCCTGCTACGGCTGTGTGCACAGGGGGTGGGATTTTGATTTTAGTGTTGCTGAGGCTACAGTCCATTTCTACCAAAGGTGCTGACTTCACAAATTCCTGAAGTATTTTAGTCAGGCTTCCTTTAGTGCTCTGTAGTTTGCTTGGGACACAAAGAACCCAATTTCTAGCAGTAACTGATAATCTACGAGCCTAATGGGTAGATAATGCTGCTTGAAAGGTTTGCTGAGAGCTTTTGGTGACTTAGAAAGAAAAATGATTCTATCTTGGGCTAAGAAAAACTGGCTGAGATGGACTTATTTTTTTTCTCCTTCCTCCTCATTTTTAGCATAAGTGATTATTGCCACTCTTGTTGACATTAGAGGAACAGTTGCTAATAATTCAAAGTAAATATTGCAGTGTGCTCTCCTTGCAAAGAGAACCTACAGATATATAGCAAGGACCTAGCCTCCAAACTTGGGTAACTACGTATCCTACTCAGGTTCCCAATATCCCAGATTGAGGTCAATGTTCTCTGCCCATTTCATCTAAATGAAGTACAGAATCTCCAGACTCTGGTAACGTTTTACTGAATGTGCTCTTCGCTTGGTAAAAGGGAAGAGAAATTAATAGTTTTGGAAATTAAAATTTTCATCTGGAACAGATGAATTGCTGAAAATAAGGGAAGTGTTTTCAAGTCTTTCAAAAGAGCGCTGATGTGACTGCTTAGCAAAATTGGAGTGTTGTTTATTTATAGAAGCATTTGCACCCTTTTGGCATATGTTACTGTGGCTTTCTGTTCAGAGAGTGGGGACCCAGGAGCAAAAGACTTGCCTCAGTCTAGCAGTGAATTCCCAACACTGGCAGATATCTCGGACATGAGCGTGTGAGTGTATCTGCCATGTGCACAGGACAAATAACCTAATCCAATTAAGACATTTCTGAAATCTATAGTAGAAGACACTTCAAGCCTTAGAGAAGCATGGCCAGCAGGTCAGAAGAGGTGATTCTGCCCCTCTGCTCTGCTCTCCTGACACCCCACCTGCAGTGCTGCCTCCAACACAAGAAAGACATGGACCTGTTAGAACGAGTCCAGAGGCCACGAGGATGATGCGAGGGCTGGAGCAGCTCTGCTGTGAGGACAGGCTGAGAGAGTTGGGACTGTTCAGCCTGGAGAAGAGAAGGCTCCAGGGAGACCTTCTAGTGGCCTCCCAGTACCTGAAGGGGCTCCAGGAAGGCTGGGGAGGGACTTTGGGCAAGGGCAGGGAGTGACAGAACAAGGGGTGTTGGTTATAAACTGTCAGAGGGGAGGTGGAGATGAGATGTGAGGAAGAAATTCTTTGTTGTGAGGGTGGTGAGACAGTGTCCCAGGTTGCCCAGGGAAGCTGTGGCTGCTCCTCCCTGGAAGCGTTCTTGGCCAGGTTGGATGAGGCTTTGAGCAACCTGGTCTAGTGGAAGGTGTCCCTGCTGCTGGCAGGGGGGTTGGGACTGGATGAGCTTTCAGGTCCCTTCCAACCCAAACCATTCTGTGATTGCATGAGGTTCTGCTTATTTATACAGTAAATAGTGTTACTGCTTTAAAACCATCTTACTTTAGGTTGGCAAGTTAATTTAGAAGAAAACTCATAAAGTGCTGCATGATACGTTAGAGAAAACTGGTTAAACGTGATTCCAACAGACGCATCTTATAAACTGAGTGAAGTGTACTGTGATATCTGGCCTTGTCTAGAATTCTGGAAGTTAATTGGAGTTTCTAGGTCAAAGTAAAACTGATGACATAGCTCCTGCTTTATCTGAAAACCAAGGTGTGTACAGATAGAATCCCAGACTGGTTTGAGTTGGAAGGGACCTTAAAGCTCATCCAGTCCCAACCCCGCTGCCATCAGCAGGGACACCTTCCACTAGACCAGGTTGCTCAAAGCCTCATCCAACCTGGCCTTCAACACTTTGATAGCAACTACAGTTTATGTTTCAGAACAGGTATCATGAATTCTTGAGCTCTGAAAAAGCTTAACTTCTTAAAAGCAGGAAGTGAACGAGTAGGTAGAAGAAAGGAGTTTTTCAGGCTTAGGTTTGGGGGAAGGTGGGTTTGTTTGCCATGTGGGGTGCCTGCCAGGGCACCCCAACCTTCAAGGTTTTGAGCAGCACCCCTTATAAAACAGTGTTGTAGAATGGGACGATTCCATTGTAAGCAGTTCAGTAGGTATTTTGTTAAAATGACAAGGCAAACCCAAGTAGTTGCTTCTATTTTGGGCCTGACTTTTTCCATTTATACAGTGTGCTTGTCTTGCTCTGTGTCTGTACTCTTGTGGCCATTATTATAGGCCTATTAATATAAACCAGCTTTCTGCATCTTATGCAAGAGTTGGGTTTGTAAGCACGTAACTTCAGTTTCTTTTTCTTTTTTTGAGTCTAAATCAAGAAATTACGAAATCTGGATGAATTTGTATTTGGCGTGCAATTCCCGTCTGCTTGAAATACACTGCTGTTAGCCTGTACTGAGGCACTTGTCTCCTTGAGTTTCTCAATCACCTTTCATCTGGCCTGCTGTCAGGTCATCTTTGGAATGGTAAAGGGAGTGATTAACAGTCCTTGGTGACACGGGAGGTTTGGACATGCAAATGTCGTAGGATGTTTAAATGCTGTGAGTTGTTGCTTCGTGGAAGTAAGGAGTGAGGTTGGAGGTGCTTTGGAGTGGTGGTCCTGACCTGCTCTTCAAGCCTTGTCGCAGGCCCTCCTTGCAGTGACATGGTAGTGGTGGTCGGAATGGCGTGGGGGAAAGTGGGGTGTGAAAGCAGGGCATTGATCCCCACTGCTCATAAGGTTGGACCATTTTCAGATGGGGCCAGGAAACTTCTATCTGGCTCCAAGGTTATGAATAAATGTGATAGAGAGTAAAGGAAGCTGTCTTTCTCTACTGCTAGCTGATGTTTTGGAAACTGCTCACAAGTTTGAGTAGGTATAGTTCTGAATTTCCAACACAACTAGGTGGCCAGTTCTGCATTGCCAAAGTGAACTGCATTTGCTTCCCTCAAACTTCAAGCAACTGAATATAATGCCTGAATTGGGTATTTTGCCCTACTGTGCTGACTCATGTAGGAGATAATAGACCCAGACCTCTATAGAATCTCAACCACCAAAAATTAAAATGCTGAAGAGTAATAAGCTGCTTTGGTTTGGACAATGCAAGTATGACTTGAATAAGCTTGCATTATGAGAATTTAAACTGCAGCTTATTTCTCTGAAGATATAACTTGAATTGGTATTAGAAATCCTAATACCTGTTCTTGGAATCGAAAGTTCATGTGAAATATAAACTGTGCTGAGAAGCCTAAGGTGGTAAAGTTGCCTAATAAAATGTGAATTTTAAATATTTCTGTGTTTTCAAGTGATTTTCATGGGGCATATTGAAAGTCTGAACTTATGCACGTGTCCTATCTGCCTGAGGTCTTTTGAGTCTTTGGGCTACTCAGGCTTATTGCTTTTCCTCTTCAGTGTCTGGTAAGAATGTTTTTAAAGCTGTTGAAGCGAATGAGCATTCAGTAGAGAAACTGTCTTGTCCTTGAGGTGAGGAATAACTCAAGCTGTTTGTTTATAAGAATGTGCTTAGGAAACTCTTTCCTTCAGAGCACTGTCAACCTAATAATTACCTCTCCTATGAAGACAGGCTGAAAGAGCTGGGGCTGTTCAGCCTGGAGAAGAGAAGGCTTAGGGGAGATCTTATAGCGGCCTTCCAATACCTGAAGGGGGCCTATAAGAAAGCCGGGGAAGAACTTTTCGTTAGGGCAGTTAATGACAAAACTAGGGGGAATGGCTTTAAACTGAAAGAGGGTAGGTTTAGATTAGATATTAGGAAGAAGTTCTTTAGTGTGAGGGTGGTGAGACACTGGAACAGGTTGCCCAAAGAAGTTGTAGATGCCCCCTCCCTGGAAGTGTTTAAGACCAGGGTGGATGAGGCTTTGAGTAACCTGATCTAGTGTAAGGTGTCCCTGCTCATGGCAGGGGGGTTGGAACTAGATGATCTTTAAGGTCCCTTCCAACCCAAACCATTCTATGATTCTATAATCAGACTGAAAGTAAAATTCAGTTTTCTCTTGCCAGTTTAAGGAATAGAAAAACTGAAGTGTTTGTGAAAGTTGGTAACAAAGGAATCTTGGATTGATTGGATGCGACTGATACTGTCTTAAAGTCTGCAAAGCTTCTTGAAACACGGAGGTCCTTTTACCTTCTCAAATTCCCCTATAAAGTGGTGCTTAAGTTACCTCTATGATGTTTGCCTTCATCTAGTCCTAATACTGGAGAGTAATAATTCCTCCTGGTGTTCATGCAGCGTGGTTGGGTGGAAAGAAGCTTAGGGTGGCAGAGGGCTGTCCAAAGCACTGGATCCTGATGTGTGTTCTTCTGATTTCAGGCAAAAGTAAAGAAGCGGAGATAAAGAGGATAAATAAAGAACTAGCAAACATTCGGTCAAAATTTAAAGGTAAGTGACTTGATCCTACTAAACTATACAGATTTCCTCATCTGACATTCTTCTTCATTTTGGTTTTACATGTTTAGACTTTTTTGTCAATTGCTGACACAAGCAAAATGCTAGAGCAGGCTGTTAGAATAACTACTGAAAATGTTTGCTTAACGACAGACCTTCCTGACAGTCCTATGATTCTTGGCCACGGCAGAAGAAAACTCCTTCCTATATCAAAGAATTGAGCTACTGTTCACAAACTTTTTCTAATACTTTGCCTCCTAACCATGTGACTACTCAGCCTGTTTTCTTCCAGAAGGCCGTGAACTAGTTTGAAAAAACACAGGTGAATGTAATTATTTCCAGTAAAACTGAATCTCTTTAAACTTCTACTTCCCCTTCTCCCTCCGCTCCTGATCCCTTTAAAGAAGTAATGGGTTAAGCTGTCTTCTGGCAGAATGAAGATAAAAATGTGTAATTGAAGCCATACATCTTGGCCACTCCCATAAGCAACAGTAATACAAATTATTCATATGAAACAAAGGATATGCAGTGACTAATTCCATCCTCATGTGTTCCAAGAGGCAATGATTCACTTTTAAACAACACATGGTGGAACTCGTGCTATAACTGTATTCAAATTGTGTATGAGGCTTCACATTTTAAAGATTCTGAGGGGTTGTTTAGATGCTTTTGAATGGAGTTCTACCAGTAGTGGCTGTAGCAAGCATTCTGTTTAAGCAGATATGGGGCTCTGTGTGTAGCTAGATAAGGTGTTGCAGCGTGGAGGTCATCTAGGTGGCTTTAGAATTTGCTGTATTTGGATTAAACCTGTTTATCTTAATTATCCTGACTTAGACTAGTGTATCTATTTGGAATACTGAATGCATTAACAAAGCTTAAAATAACTTTCCTGAACTTCATAGTGATCTGTTGTTACTTTTTAAAGTGGTGTATCTCTTTCAAGGCATATGAAGACCTGCAAACACTTGAGTGTCAACAACAGCTTGGAAGGGAAAAGTTGACCACAGTGTAAGACGCTCACAAAATGTTAATTCTTCTAACTTAGAAGATCCCACATGCCTCTGTGCTAATTCAGAAGTTAGAAATTTCAGCATACTTTATCCAATTCTGTAACTTTAGTCATAGGGTAACTGAGAAAATTTTAATCACTGTATTTCTAGGGTAAATAGAAAAAGGAACTTTCATTCAGTCATCTCCCTCTGCTGTCATGTTGCTTTTTAATCCCTTTTCAAAGCAAAGCTTCCATCTAACATTTATGTTGGTCTGATTTTTGCCAAAAGTAGTAGGCTTTGCATAGTTTGTTCTACAGCCTATTCTCCATCACCCAATCCACGTCTAAAACTTGTCTCCATTTTCCAGTCGTAGTGACTACTTGTGTCCATTTTCCAGGCAGTGACCAGCAGATACTGCCTTCATGTACTACATGTGTGCACACTGAGCAGCTAGCCCATAGTTCGAGGGTCTACTAGAACCTGCATGCAAGAGTAACAGCTATTTCTTTTGGTTCCAGATGTATGATCAAAGTGGATCGTCTTATTGCCTAGTAAATTTAAGCATAAAATGGTAATTTTAAAATAAAGCAGCTCAGTCTCCAAGCAAGATCTATACTAGACACTTAAATTAAGTGTGTCTTTTAGATAAAGAGACTGAGTTTAGTCAAAAACTGTTTTAAGACATTTCTGTACACTTAAGAGGTTAGTCAAAGTTTCATGTTACTTTATCTTTCAACTAATTTCACTAGGTGGTTGGATCTGGAAATGCAGCCATAAACACTGCTTATTTTCTCTTGGTCTGTGTTTGTAAAACTACTTGCTGTCAGGCAGCAGCATTATCGCTTATCAGCTCTTGATGAAATTCATTTCAGCACCAAAATTCTTAATTGTTTTGGCAAGACAAGTTTTCCTAGAAAGCAGCACGTCACATACCCTGTAGATACATTAACAGTTACTCCACCTCTGCTCTTCTGTCATCGAGAACAACTAGAGGTTAATGCCTGGCTGGAAACCTTGCTGCAGTCACATGCACAAATCTAGTTCTTTCAGCAACTTCACTGTTTTTTATCTTGATTTGGTTGATGGACAAACTTTAGTCTGTTTGCTAATCCATTTTTCACTAATAAAACTGGAAGCTTTGATCAAACTGAGTCTTCAGTTTGCAGTGAAGGTCTGAAAACTTCAAAAGGCATTAAAAAAAAATTAAAGTTATGGAAGATCCTGTAGAACCTCACTGCCTACTGTATGTTCTGTTGTGCTTGAAGCATCAAGGAGGTTCTGTCAGACCTGCTCGCTTCACTGCTAACCATGCTGTGGTAAAGGAATGCAATAAGGAACTGCAGAAAAGTTCATAATAGTTAAGGCTGTTGAAATACTGACTTGCAGGGATATGGTCCAGTTGTTACTGTTTGTCTGTGGTCAAATCCTATTAAACAATCCTCTTTAGGTAGGAGCAGTCAGTTACTAGCCCAACTCTTTATGTTTGCACCTGATGTGAAAAGCTTTAATCACAAACTGAAGTGGGGAAGGTAGATTCAAACCCGTATTCCATATGAAAGCGACGGTGGCTTACATGTGTTGAGTAACACAAGTTAAACTCCACTTGTGTCCGTCCACACCCACTAACCTGCGTACGTCTGTAAACTTGTGAGTGTGAAAGAAGTGAATCTGTGGATTGTTTGGGTACCACAGCAATCAATGCAGCCTTTAAAATGAATGCTAATAAGAATTATGCCTTCTGAGTGCACTTCCTGGCAAAGTGCAGTCAATCTTGCGCGTGGATCACAGGATGGACACTGACACGCGAGTCGGTATTTTGCCAGCGTCGGTCGTCCTGAGTCTTGCCCTGTGAAGAGTCTACGAACATGCACTCAGAAGGTTGCTGATATCACCTCTAGTAAAAGGCTCCTAACACACGATAGAACTAGGCTTCACTGTTCTTTTCTGTGAAAGTCTTTATAAAAGCAGCAGTATAAGCCACTGTAGTACTAACTTCAGGAAAACTTGGCAGAAATGAAGCTCGTAGTGAACTGAATTCTGTCAGAATAGCGTTCTCTGGTTAACATCGTTAGTCTGGTAGCAGTGTTGTATCACTGAGTAATCCTGGGCTAAAGAGCTGCTGATGGCACAGTTCATAAACACGTGTTCAGTTCTGTTCCTCACTTTTGCAAGGTATTTCTTGGCTAAGGTACAAAACCAGTTAAAAGTACAGGCACTGTAGATTCTGCTCTGTTAACCATGATGCGGGGGAAATTATCGTAGGAGCCTTTGGCTGTGTAGAGCCATGAATTGGGTGATGATCATAGAACAGAGGTGCTTTCAGCTAAGTAGTGCAGTGGCCTTAGCCTCTGTACCTTGGGTAGCATCCTTTAAACACAGTTTAAATAGTTTGGGAAAAATATCGGCGTGTGCTCATTCGTAGCTTGAGTGAAAGATGAAACCTTCCCATAAGCTAATCTCCATTATGGCTACTTTATTACTGAATTTGTTTGGATTTTTAGGTGAAAAAAAATCTTACTTAACTGAAGACAATAACTTGACGTAGCCTGAAGGAAAACTAGACATAAACATCACAATTTGGAAGACACTGGGTTTGGACAACTTGTTGTGTAGCTGCTTGAGGCCTTGAGAGTGTGAGGAGGTGATAGCTGTGTATCTTTCTGCTGCAGGAGTGGTCCTTCCTTGCAGAAGGATAAAAATAAACAGACCTTCATAATGCATTTTATTCTTGGTTGAAGTGGAAATCATTGTTTAACCTGGTTTCTTTTTATGTAGCTCTGACTTTTAAAGATATTTTAAAATAATTTTGATTAACACAACTGTGTGACCAGGAACTTAAGATGGAGTCCCTTGCTGAATAATTATGGGGAATACCAGTGCCCTGGGTTAATTACCTGGCCGCAGATACAGCTGTTGGACTGGCTGTATTGCTGCAACCTGGGAAAGGTCTGACTGTAAGAAGCAAATATGTTCTTGCTTGAGACTAGCATAAGAGACTGGCATACCACAAGAATCTTGTCCCTGCTCTGGGCCTTTACACTCTCCAGCATACTCTTGCAGTATCTAGACCCCACTCCATGGGACTTCCAAGATATATTCTCATACTGTTACAGACAGAGGCTAAGTATTTCTACTTCTCTTCTGTCATGCAGGTAGCTGTCAAGCCTGTTACCTGCCTTATGTTTGGATAACCTGTTATTTAAAATACCCTGTACTTAACAGGCCATACGTTTGTGGAACTGTTGGAACATATACCATGTCTTTAGGTTCTGGTCTGGCTTCTGTGCTTCAAGCTCAGAAGGAATCTAGAATCTCTGTGCTTAAGGTGACTTTATCTTTTGTTTCAGCATGAGGAGGCTCCATTGCGGAGGTCAGTGTGTCCTTGGTGGTTGCTTTAAATGCTGCTGCATTAACTGAGATAAGATACATGTAGTAGGGAGAAACTAAAGCAGTGTAATAAAGCAGAAGTTGTAGGACTTAATAGTATTTTTCTCTACTTCACACTTCCTTTTTTTTTTTTAACGGGTTCAGACTGTAAGCCGATTTTGCTCCCATGTTTGAGCCAAACTAGAAGTCTGGCTGTCAGACTAGTAATTGCTTTGTAAATGAGTGAAAAAATACCTGGTTTATTACTTTGTTGTGTAATTTTTATTTCTCAGAGCAGAATTTGCACACTAATGAAACTGCCCACAAATCTATAAGCTGTTTCTGCAGTCAGAGGAACTCTGTTCTCTCCTTGATTCAGATTTGTTCTTTTTCCCAGGTCTGGCATTAGATTTTAGTTTTGTTCTGACTGCTTAATAGGGTTTGTGTTACAAGGGTGGCTTCTATATTCTTCTTACCTTTTTTTACTTCAGCTCACTTGTTTTCCCAAATTCCAGTTCCCCCCTCTGGCTGGGAGCAGGCTCTGTAACTGTGCAGCAGGCTACTTTTTAAGTACACTGAATTAGATTCAAAAGCAGGTGCTGTTTTTTAACTCATGGTCCAAATTAGAGACAGAAGATGCTGCCTGGGAACAAAAGGGACTCATAATGCATTTGTGCCTTATTTCTTCCTTTTTGGAAGGCTGTATGAAAGGTATCTATGAGCAATGAAAACCAAAACTTCCCTGTTGAGATGGTAGAGAGGTGATGCACAGAAATGTGAGAGTAATTCTTTCTTAATAATAGTACTATTTGCTGATTAGCTGTTAATAATTTATTTCTTAGAAAAATGACTAATAAACTTTCCAGGGAAAGCAAGTAGCCTTTGAAATGCCCACTGTGCTGAAAAGCTGCTGACGTGTGCTCTGAATCCTTCCTGTTTCTGCTGACTTGATTTGCAGTACTTGCAAATGTTCCCGAAAGCGTTTAAAAATGAGCTGAGTTAAAAGAAATTACTGTGTATTGCAATAAAGATAACAGAACACGTGAAATTTCCTTCTGCTGTTGTTCAGATGTTTGCTTGAGGCGAGGGGAAGTGGTACTATTTTAGCACATGCTATTTTAGCAATGAGACTTGTTAGTAATGTTTAGAATAGAACCTCTATAACTCTGAGTGCTACATAGGAGGGAGAGGAATTGAATAGTTAAACTTGAAATTTCAATAAAGAACTGAATCAAAGACTTCCTCAAAACACAGCTGGAGTTAGACAGCTACAGCGAGACCTTTGACTGCAATGCGCTTTTTATTTTTAAATTGCTCAGCTAATTAAATAATAACATTTTTAAAAAGACAGTTATGTTCTATTATTTCTGGGAACTAATAAGACTTTACAGAATAGTTCTAATAACTGTTACTTGGCTTAGTTTTTAAGCTTGCCTTTTATTCAGAACTTTCAGATTTCCTTCAGTTCTGCATACAAGGGACAGAAGCTTCTGAAAGCAGTCAGTGAACTATTTTTCTGTCTTAAAAAAATGTTTCCAGTACTGATTTAACAATGTTGTTCTTTGGTAGCACGTGGTGGAGAAGGAAGCTATTTTTTCCTTCTTAGTAGGACGGTGATATGCTTTGAGCTTGATTGCATGGCATGGCTTCCCTCAAAAATACATCAAATACCTCAAGATCCAAGGACCTTGCTAATCTGCCTTCTTAAAATACTGGTCTCTTGCAAGAATATAATGCTTTAAATAGCTGGGTCCTAAACCCGAAAAAAGGAGTTGCCAAACCATGACAAATACTTTGTGGTGTAAGTCAGTGTGGTTCAGAATATACGTACTTCCTTCTGTGTGTGTTCTTTGTTCAGCAGTTGGGTTGCTGTATTCTATACTCCCTCTTCCCTTCTGATCTCACAAGGTCAACACCAGAGACATTTGAGAATATGAGAGAAGAGGGTTTATACTTTTGTCTTTTGTGTGTTGCTGATGGGTTGTGCACCAGTAGGCAGCTGCAGTTCAGTCTCTGGGACTCCAGTCTTGGAGACTGGTGGTAGGGGTTGGTTTTGTCACTTATGATAAAGTTCATATGGAAACTACTTTCAGATGCCTTTTGGTGTATCAGTATCCCTGAGAGAAGCAACTAATGATATTAATGCTATTAAATACCATAGCAAGTCCTCAATTATATGGATCTCAGCCACCAGAAGAACACTGACTAAAATGGATCAAACTTATTTAGTGTCCCGCTCTGTGTATCTCAATGTTATCTGGTAATGGTGTCCAGCGTCGCCTGTTTCTTTAATCAGTTTAGTTTATAGTGGTCAGGTTTCTGTTGGTTTTATACAGTCAGTGAGTGTAGTGTGACATTTATGGGAGCTCTAGATGCATGAGGCCATCAGAAATCTAACCTGCTTCTGCAGCAATGGAAGAAGGAGAAACTTCTATACTGTTAAGATTCTTTTTTATATATTCAGCTTCCTATTACATAAATCTGAAGTTTTTTTAAAAAATGCAGCTTGGAGCTTTTTTGGTAAGGCAAATGAGTTGGGGATCTTACTCAAGCTTTACTTTATGCACTGCTATTCTGGCTGAGCTTGCTCCTCACTAAGGAATACACGCTGACCTGATAGACTGGTTACTCTGGGCCCAGAGTGCAGAGGCTGAGGAGCTGATATGGCCTTTTAGGCAGCAGCATCTATCAACATTTTGCTACCCTGACTGAACTCTGTAGCATTCAGATACAGATATTTTTATATATATCTTCTTTTTTTAGATATACTAAATACCGGATAATAAAATTTTTAAAAAGACAATTTTTTGTCTTTTTTTTACCGGATACTTCTTTATCTCCTGGTTTACAGTAGGGAGAGAATGTTCTGCAAAAAAAAAAATGTTTGTTCATATGTAGCCCTTTTCTTCAAGAAAAGCAGTGTTCTTCCTGATGAGCTGTAAGCTGTACTATCCTACGTAGCTTTTACAAGCTTTTAAAATACAGCAATACTGCAGCATAAGGCCAAACCTATTTAGGGTACGTTTTTCCTCTAGAACTGAAACACTTGTGAACACTTTAATTTTACAAACACTTTACAGCTCTCAGGCTAGTCTAATTTCCTGTGGTTTTTTTCAAGGCTTTAGGATATGCCTCTATCATTCCATCTTTTTGTGAAAAGACTTGCTGTTTTTATGTTGTTTCTACTGAGGTCTCCACTGTGGTGCACTTCAGGATGTGTGTTAAGACCTTTTACTGTGATAAAGGTTTAATAGTTGCTTTAACAAGAAAACATGTGTATGGAAGACATATAGCTGCTCTTAACAGAAACAAGAAAATAAAAACTGAGTAAACATTTAGGTACTGCTTCTTAGGAAGAAAATACTTTAAGAATATAGCAGGATAATTCAGGAACTAGATGATAGCTTTATTTAATGAGTGTCCTTTAGGATATAAATGGAATTAACACTAAAATCTTCATATTTTGTTGTTGTTTTTTTCCCCTTAGAAATTAATTTAAGATTTAGATAAATATTTAAAACTAGTATTATCTGAATGTCTTGTTGATTCAGTGACAACTCAGCTTTTTCAGAGTTATGCATTTTTCTGTCTTGGACCGTTAGGAAGAGTTACAAGCTACCTGTGTTCTATGGCTGGAAATAGTTTGGTTGTTTTTTTTTTAAACACGGGAGTAGTTTGTTTGTCTGACATCTGTTGATGATGGTTTGTGATAACTTTCCTGTGTTTAGCATAAAATGATGTAAAGGCTTATAGTTCTTTAAGTCAGAGTGAAGTGGGTATATTTAGCATTTTGCTCACTGTAGAGCGAATAAAAGCTGAAATAATTAATCTAAAATTAGTGAAATTCAAATACTGCAATAGCTTAACCCTGAGTTTGTCACTTTTTTACATACATAGTGAATCAAATCTCAATCTTGATTGCTAGCTACAACTCTAAGTCTTGTACTGTGAGATCTGATGAGGTACCTCAGTGGAACTGAGAGGCAGGGGAGGAGCCAGGTACAGGGATAACATAGGTTTAATTGTTCTTTGTTTCCTTGCTTTCCAGGTGACAAGGCTCTGGATGGTTACAGTAAGAAAAAATATGTCTGCAAACTGCTTTTCATCTTTCTCCTGGGGCATGACATTGACTTTGGTCACATGGAGGCTGTAAACCTGCTCAGTTCCAATAGATATACAGAGAAGCAAATTGTGAGTAACTCGGTCTCTATAAGAGATAAGCTGTTCTGTCTAATATCTCGCCTCAGCTATATAGTTTGTAAAGAACTTTGCTTCATTCCCTCCTGCCCGTCTTAAAGCCTTGTTTTGAATCTAGCAGTGATTCTGAAATGTAAACACCTTGCATGCACAGGGAATCTTGTACAAATTGTAGAACTTAAAGTGTGCACTCTGCATAAAATTATTACTCTTATTAAGAGACTACCTTGAGTCTTGCATTAAAAGGTAAGTAACCTTTTAATTTTCAGAATATCTCTTTAAATCTTCCTAGTTAAGTTTGTGTTTATCAGATACATGTAACTCACTAGTGTCTGAATAATAAGCTAAATTATTGATTTGTTCCTATTCATCTAAAATAATCTTTTGAGTATATGCTGAAGTAGATTGATGAGACACTTAACTGATAAATTAGACTAACACTAAACTTACTCATTTTTATTTAATTCACTTAATCTTTCTAGCCTTCACTATGCTATCCAAATATCTATTTCTGCCCATGTGTTTGGTATTGGAGGAGATCTCTATATCTCAAGGAATTACCTGTGGCATTAACAGAAAACATTTGTGTTGGCTAAAATAAATTTTCACTTTCCTTTTTCCGAATCCCAGGGATATCTCTTCATCTCTGTACTAGTGAACTCTAACAGTGAGCTGATTCGTTTAATAAACAATGCCATCAAGAATGATCTGGCCAGTCGCAACCCCACCTTCATGGGGCTTGCTCTGCATTGCATCGCTAACGTGGGCAGCCGGGAGATGGCCGAAGCGTTTGCTGGAGAAATTCCAAAAATTCTTGTAGCTGGGTAGGTATGACATGTGTCCTTCAGATACACCACCAATAAACCTTTCTGACAGTTTGGTTCCTTTGCAGCAGCTTAATCCATGCTTAGACCTTTGCAGCCCTGGGCTTGCAGTACAGATAGTGACAATTTCCAGTAACTGCAGGTACTTTGATAAACCTTTGATATACCTTGCTTACATAAGTGTACAATTAAGACTATGTCAGTATCTTGAATAGGCTTTTGCAGCTTTGTTGTGATCAAGTTTTTGTTCTGTATAAATGTGTGGCAGTGAACGCCCCTGAAATGTGTATGTTTTACTTTCCTTATCTCTCCTGATGAAAGAAAAAAAAAAAAGAACCTAAATAGATGTTTACTTTACAATTTTTTGTTATAAACTGAAGCTTTTATTTAAATATTTGTGAATTCATAAGGAGTGTGAGAATATTCTGGTGTGTGAGCTTTCTTGCTTCCTCTACTAGCCAAGTAAAAAGCAATTCCTGTAAATGGCAAATAATCACCGTCAGTTTTCTAACTTGCACTTTGAAGTCCTGAAACAGACCTAGCAAGTGTCTGAAACTGTAGTTAAGTAAATCTAAAATGAAACTTGTGATTGCAGGGCTAATTTACTTTGAAACTTAAAATGTCCAAGTGCAAACAGTGCATTTAGACTCTTATGGATATGAAATGTTTTGGAATGCACATGGATCTTGTTTTATAACAAGCTAATGTCTTGCATTAATATAAAAAAAATAACATGTTGTGTAAGAACTGTATTAATGTTCTAAATGTCAAGCACTGGAGCTTGCAAATGTTGGAAATGTGCTTGCTTATGCAACGCTAATTCTGATTGTGTCTGTGCACGGAGTTGGTGACAAAAGGAAGGATATAATGTGATACCTAGTTGTGGCAAAAGTCTTAGGAAATGCTTCTGAACTCTTGAAATAGTATCTCTGATATGGCACACTTGTTTTTTTGCAGAGCTGAAATGTAGTATGGGCCAGAAAGAGAAGAACAAGCAGCTAGCACCTGATGCTCAGTATGGGTCTGGTCTGGTGGAGGAAATGGGGGAGAATCTATCCCATAATTCCACCTTTCTCAGACATTAAATTCCCTGTGTAAGGGCACATGTTTAGAGATGGAACATTCTGAGACCTGTCAGGCTGGTTGCTGCCCTGTCCTGCACTGCCCTGGCTGGGTGCTATTCTCCATGTAGCATAGCGGAGACAATGCTGCAGTGATGAGTCATGGTTTTTAATAAGATAACCTTAAAAAGTTCCAAAAATTTTACTTAGGGTCATAAATTGTAGACAGACGACAGCACCTTCAGTTCAGGCTTGTTTGAACTTTGAGCTGTGTTTCTGAGATCAGTCCTCAGGGCCTCATTCCTTTCGCATTTCTAAGAGAATATATGTAAAATATGTAGGGATATGTGTCATATCTAAGTGACCTGTGCAGAATCAGCACTGTCAGTTACATTTGCAAAATTAGTGTAACTCCCTTGGCTTGAATATAAATTAGAGGTAGGGAGTGGAGGAATAAGTTTGGAGGTGTGTTGGGTTTTTTTGGTTGGTTGTTTTTTTTTGTTTTGTTGGGGTTTTGGGGGATTTTTTTGTTTGGTTTTGGTTTTTTTGTTCCTCCCCCTCCCACTCCAAGATACAACTTGATCTCATGGTAAATTAGTAAATTCATAAAGAATAGATGGGCTGAACTTCTACTGGGGATGTGGAGGTTTCTGGATGTTTAACCGAGATTGCAGAGTATAAACTACCTCTGAAAACTTTCAGTGCTAATTATCCGTATATTTTTTAGCTGTTGTTTGGGCAACATACAAAATGCTTAGACTAGGTTGTGAAAAGGAGTTCACTGACCTAAAATAGGAGGATGCTGCTCTTAAAATAGTCCATTTCTGTGCCGACAGTATGGATGGCAAGATGAACAGACTTGTGGGTTGCATGTTTGGTGTTAGCCAACTTGGATGCTGGCTGGAAGTACTGGAGCTGTTGAGTAGTTACACAGGACCTATTGGGAGATCCAGCTTTGGTCGTGTGCATAATGCAGTGTAACTTAACTCTTTGCCTTGAGTCACTTTGGAAGGAGCTTGTTCTTGTGATTAGATGAGTTAGTGCCTCTCTAATAATGAACTTTCAGTTCTGGTAAAAAGATGTGAAATGTCACTCTAAGTTGCAAAGAATCATTATAGAGGCTACTAGACATATGTAGTGGTTGAAAATTTGACTAAACTTACTGGACAAAATTAAGACAAACAAATACTGTGACACAGGAATAATTTTGAGAACTTCTGTTTCACCCTCTATTGAAAAGATGCTGCGTGGCTAGGAGTGCTGAGTCAGTGGAAGGACTGACCTAATGCTGGCCTGCAAGTATCGCTGTGACTTCACCACTGTATTTTAAATCCATATTTATGTCTTGCAGAGATACTATGGATAGTGTGAAGCAGAGTGCTGCCTTATGCTTGCTGCGTTTATATAGAACTTCTCCTGACCTTGTCCCCATGGGAGACTGGACGTCTAGAGTGGTGCATCTCCTCAATGACCAGCATTTGGTAAATCAGCTTCATTATGCTTCTTGGGTCTACTCTCTATAGAGAATGTTGTCACTTCTATTAAATACACTATTAATTTATTTCTTCTCGAGTCTTTCAAGCAAGTGCGTTGCTGTTTTCTTCAGGTTTGGGGAAAGAAATGGAAAGAGTTGTCCTTTCTTTACTTACTGTATATATTAACTTTTAATAAAGCTTTGTTTACCCTCTTTCTTGGAGATAAAAGAACGGTATGCACAAGTTCTTCTTTTGCTCTGGCTGTAAATAAATTTATTTTGTGCCTTGTGATCCTAAGTCATGTTGCATAGATGTAATACTAATTTTCCTAGGCCTTTTAAGATTAGACCTGCACTAAAAATACAAGACCTGATGTGTCAGTGCTTGGACTTTCTTGTCCTATGGTGTCCATGTTGTCATTCTTATCTTGTGGGTTCAGAAGAACCTATTGTTATAGATAAGAAATTCAGTTTTTCCCCCTGTCTAGTTGCTGTATGTAAGTAAGGCTATTAAAAGGCCTGTGCTTCAGCAGTAGTAAGAGTGTTTTAGTCTGCAGTAATACACAACGTTTGTGTTATACAAAGCCTGCTCTTAATGTTGGGTTGTCAGAATTCTTTCCTGGATATGTGTTGCATCCTATTTCTTCTACTTGTGCTTCTCTTGTGTAGTAAGACAACCTGCACCCAGGCGTTATTTTAATGTATCTCTCTGTATTAGCCAAACGTGAGGCAAAGCTAATACAAAAGTAGCATGGAATGCTCTGCAAGCATGGCATGTTGTTGGAAATCCTGTTGGATTTTCAAGATGTGTAATTAGTCTAGCTGCTAGCCAAATAAAGGGCTTTTTAATGTGGGGCTTTGCCAAAGCTTAGTTTTGTTGTATATTAAAAAATACTCAAAGTGAAAAGTGTCAGTGGGCAGCATCTTAAACTGTTACAAAATTGAAGGTATTGCTTTGGTTTTTGATTTGGGTTTTTTTGTGTTGTTTTGGTTTTTGTTTTTTTTTCCATAGGGTGTGGTTACTGCAGCTACAAGTCTGATCACCACTTTGGCACAGAAGAACCCAGAAGAATTTAAAACTTCAGTCTCCTTGGCAGTGTCTAGATTAAGCAGAGTGAGTCCAATGATAACCCTGACAATACTTCACTGTCGTTTAGTTTACTCAGCTTTCTAGGTCAGATTAGCTTACTGTTGCTTATTTATGCGGCTTTCTAGGTCAGATTAGTTTAGTGTACCATTAAAAGTGAAGATGATTCAGTTTCACTTCAGATAGCTGGTTCAGCTAATCTCTTTTAACACTTGATGTTTACCAGGGCAGAAAACTGTATTAGCTTGCCCAAACTTTCTTGGTGTAATCCTTGCTGTGCTCCAAGTCTGCGTAGCAAAAACATGTCTTTCTCTCAGCTACTTGTATTTGAAATGATCCTTGTGATGCAGTTGAGTTTTTAGTCTTCATTTTATGTTACTGTAACACCAAGAAGTAGTTGGATCAACTACAGTTGATTCTGCAAACTTCTGCTCAGAACCCTCAAAAATAGAACCTGTACTTTTAACTTTATCTAAGCTTCTTACCAGATGAATCTTCCTATTCCCTCTTAGACCCAGATTTATGTGGCGTTATACTCAAAATTACTTCTAGTTCAGAGAAATTTAGTTTATTTTCAGATATGAAGATTTTGTCTGATACTTCAAAGGAAGGGAGTGCTGAGGGAAGTGCATAGCTGTTCTGTAATGGAGCA